ACATTTCTTTTTCAATCAAATTTAACCAATCATGCAATCTTCCAATGCTTCATTATTAAAAAAAACTATGGTGAAAATTAATTCTGATTTCAAAGAAATAAACAAAACATTCATTCTAATAACAATGTTTCTAATTTTATACTCAAACGATATTTTCGAAGAGAACGGCAGTTACAAAAAATGCTATTTCAATATGAACTAAATTTCAAACTCGTCTGTAACATGCGAAATATGAGTTTAAGATCAAGAATTATTTGAGAACGATTTAAATACAAGATATTAGAAAAAGTAACTATCTGATTGTAGTTAATGTTGATCAGACAAATTTAACATTTTAAACGACCTCAAACAGTGATGTATTTCATATGCTGTTAAGGGGGAATCCCCACTCCAAAACCTATCTTCTAAACGGTTCAAAAGATTTCGATGAAAACTTCAGGAAATAAAAAAGCTAATGTAACTAGCATCTGATAAAAACTTGAACCAATCATTTTTAATAATTGAAGAGTTATACTCAATTTACTCATGAAAATGGGGCTTTTGCCACGGAACATTTTCCCGAGGCGTGGTAGCATGGAAAATGTTGAAATTTGTTTCAAAGTGAAGAAAAATCTTTTATCTAGAATTTATAGGAACAGTTTTTTGAAATTCATCTTTGTTCAATAGTAGTGATCATTTTAAATCGAAAATCGAAAAAAACTGCTTTGATCTCTTTCAAAGATTTTCAAATATCTGAACAACGGAGATATATTTTAGAAATCTGTTCCAACAATTTCTAGAAAAAAGTCTTATCTTTTGAATAAAGAAAATATCAGCATCATACGTTAAACAGTGGACTGGAAAAATGTTCCGCAGTAATCAGTAAACGAGAAAAAAGTGAAGCTGTGAAAAACGAATATCAAGATTGCGAAGTAGTTGATGATGTTCCTGTGTAAAAAATTGGAGCATGTTATATATCATTGGAAAGTGTGTAAAAAGGTCTTGCAGTTGATGATGTTTTCAAGAAAAAATTAAGCTAATTTCTAAATCCAAGTTTACTGTAGCGCCACCTTTTCGAAAAATAACCTAATTTTGAAACTTCCTTCTCTGACTGCAACAGTTAGAACATGATTACTCGATACGTCGATGGTTTTATACTACTGATAAAGAAGATGGAACGACATTAATTACCGGTAACTAAGGAAAAAGAATCAACACAACAGTCGATTTTTCACTATGACTTTCAATAGACGCCCCAGAATTTGGCAAAATATGTTCCATTCTTATATAATTTATACATATTCTGAAAGAGGACACTCAGGGCTACTAGAATATGTGTTTTTTCAAAAATCGACTTTCGGAGGGGGGTTTCCCCTTAATACAGATTTTCGAAATGAGTTTTATTCTAAGTGCATTAATGGATGTACAACTCGACACGGATTTGATGATTCATGCACATGTGATCATTGACTAGTATAGAATTTCCAACGTAGAATATGCGATAACTTACGCAAATCACGCAAAGTTGGCGTCATCACTTCATCTAACTGTTTGACTCATTTCCTTCGTTTCTACCCATATATATATTAATACTGCTCTCAACCGATATATGCCTCCTTCCCCATTTTCATCGATTACATTTTAAGTGATTCTTTTTCTCTGAGTCATCAGGTATGTACGATTACAATATAGTAACACGTAACATGTTTAGTTGCAACATCATTACAGTGTTATCTATGAGCCAATTTTATGACATCAAATAGAGAACATCAAAAATGTAACATGATGATTTTGCTTACAAATTTTGTTCCTATTGCATAATCTTTATTTCTTTTGTATTTCCCAGAACCCATATGCAGATGACTCTCAATGCGATAATGAAAATGGTCAATTTTCACTTTGTAATTGAAGTTCATCACTAAACGAATACTTTCGTCAAGAAGATCGTAGTCAACAATTATATTAATCATCGTCAACACTATGTGATTGAAACTAGAGCTGTAAGCCGAGCAACTCTGCTACCATTGATGCGGCACGAGAATAGGCATTTCCGACATTTCAAATCAGTTTTTGGAGATGTAACCATATGGTTTCTGGACAATCAGCTCTTCACCGTCACTTTCTCTTGTGTTTACTTCAAAGTTACGAAAAATTTTAATTATCGACATTGATGACTTTATCGACTGAGACTTCTAACTGGAAAGCCATCTTCTTTTAGTCATCAAGATTCATCTAAATCAGAACGAAATGCTGAACATAGTCTCAATTTAAAGCAAACAAAACGTAAACGCCAAACTAATAAACATAATTAAAAAGAAGAATAAAGTTCACGGAAATGATCATTTCTTCATTGATTATAAATTTACAAAAAAAAATGCTCGTTGGCTATTTACACACGTAGTACTCATTCTGTCGTATTTATCATTTTCATTTTTTGTTTTTTGTTTCATATTTGTTATGAAAACGTGATGCATATTATCGACAAGTACAAAAAAAGAGCACGTGTGAAAATATGTATAAAAATATTGTTCCTGAGAAAAAAAAATTAGTTTGTTTCTTCAGATAAAAAAAGAAATTTTCATGGTAGATACTCGATTTTCGGCTTTATTAGAGCAGTTTATCGATGATTTGCAGAGTCCAAATGAAGATACGCGTCTTCGAGCAACAGACGAGTTCTACGAATGTATTCTTGCTCAATATGCTGATGTAAGTGAGACCTATCAATTCTAACATGAGGTACATGAAATTTTATTTGTTTACAAATGATATAAAGAAGAGATTTCATAGAGAATTATTCAATTATTGAGTTTATTTGTTGCGAATCAAATTTAGATAGAAAAATGTTAAATGATTTTTACATTATAAAATGCAAATAAAAACAAAATTTAAAATTAGATCGTCTAATTCCAAACAGATAATCTTTTTGATTAATTTACAAAAGACTCTTTTTATATTAATTCATTACCTGAATCTTCGTGCATATTGTAAGGTTACTTTTTTTAAGTCTATTTTGTAATCATCATGACTCGGATTTGCATTCTTTTTTTTTTGTAATATGTTGTACTGTGTATATTACCGATATTTCATATAATATCCTATTGAAAGCAGAAGATTGATTCATTGGATTATCGTATTAATAGATAAATAGTTTGAACAACAGACATTACATCAAACGCTGCTCTTTATGAATTAAGTCTTAATCTTTAATTCGAGAATAGACGGTTAATCGAAGTTATATTTATACCAGTGAGAACCTATGGATAGTTAGATGTGAATGTTACTTCATGATCTTCAGAAATTTCATTTTTGACCCGAGCACCCATACATCGATATATTCAGTAATTTAGTACAAAAGTATCGCTGAAAAACACAGGCTAGCATGAAATGGATATAAATTCAATAATTCTTTTTTTTGTGTGTTATACAGGCTCCATCTGATGTTGTTACAAGTATTGCTGAACAAGTACAAGATTTAGTTCGAACAAAAATGCGTAATCCATATAATGTCAATGAAAATCGAGCAGGCCTTCTTGTTATCCGTACGTTTCGATAGTTCGGTTTTTTCTTCATGTATCTGTCTATATATTTAGTTTGTTTTATTTGTGTCGGACAAAATTTCTACACTGAATTAAGTAATAAAATAGAACCAACATTACGCGGTTATAAACAAATGTCAGTTGATGCTAATTTATGTGAATTAGTTATCAAGTTAACATGTATTCTTGTCAAAGTAATAACAAACGCATTAATTTATTTTGTTAAAACATTACATATAGGGTTGTGGTCGAATGAGTATTGATCAATTTTCACATGATATTCCTAAAGCAATTGAACGAATATCACATGATCAAACACATGAAACAAGACGTTATAGTGGTATAACTATTTTAAGAGAAATTGCTCTTGTTGCTCCATCACGTTATTATCATTTAATAACACCTGTTGAACAATTTTTGGAACACCTTTTTGTTACAATGACAGATCCACAGGTACATGTAAAAGAAAAAAAATTTTTGATTTTATTGACTCCTTTTTTTTTGTTTATGTTTAAGAAATATATTCGTGAAGCATTTGCTGAAACAATTCATGCAACACTAGTTGTTCTCATTGATCGTGAACGAGACGAACGACATAGTGATAATATTGATACAATAACAGGAGAATATTTAACAAATAGTAATATAAGTTATGCTATTAATACAGAATCCAATACATTTATTAAAGCATATCATGTTTGTTGAAACTTTTCGATGTAGTTATTTTATGTGTTAAGATTGTTTTTTTCTTTGTTTATTTAGATGATTTATACGAAAGCAATGAAATGTTTAACAGTTGATACAACAATAGATAAAACTGAACAAAGAGAAGATCAGATTCATGGAGGACTTTTATTACTTAATGAATTATTACGAGTATCAGATGTCAAATTTGAAGTAAGGCTTATTGTGGAAGAAAATTTATTGATGATGTATTCATGAGGTTTGTTTTAGAATATATGTCAAGATTTAATTCATTCATATAGTGTATCAAGACCTAAACAAGTTTCATATAAAGTAAGAATAAGATACTTCGTTTTACATGTAAAAGTAAACAAGAAAAAATAACTTTAGGTTGACTTCTTTTTTTTCTAAGAGTAGTCAATAAATAGCTAGAAGCTTGATCCATCTCTTGTTCATGCACAGAGAGAGTACCGGGTATGGGTAGAAAAAATTTCCGATCTAGATCAGATCGAGTCCACAAAAACAATAATCCGCAGTGTCCTATTGATCGATTGAAGTCAGGACAGAACCGAATCGAGTGTTAATCAGTACCAGTTCTAACTCTATAACGTCTATTGTCGATAGTACTCTGATGATTTTTTTCTAAGTGTAGACCAAAACTCATTAGAATCTGAATTTGTTAGTTTGTATAGATGTTAAAATACTAGTGACCGGCCATTATTATTACTGTACCATGCCTGATCAGTTTCATTTTTTTTTAAATATTGCTCAATACTTTTTCTTCTGATCGATAAAAACCTTTTTTTTTGACGTTTTTCATTTGACTAAAATTTTCTTGTTCATAATTAATTATAAGAAAAAAAACTTAATATCCTAGAACATACATCGTACTCGTGTTGTTTTACAATTTGAACGTCCTGCTCCATTATCTCCTTCGACTATAATTATGAATTCTGAAAAATTTCAAACTCCAGTTCAATCATCTCTTATTCAGTTCATAATGCTCGAAAATTTTCTTCCTATCTGTAATCAAATATTTCAATATTGTCAACAACCGAAATCTATGATATCGAATGTACTAATTCGTATTTTACCACGTTTAGCATCATTAAATTATAGATTATTTTCATATTATTCATACGTTGATGCAACAATGAATTTTATATTTGAACGTATCAATTCTTGTGAACTGAAAGAACGTCAATTAGGATTTCATGCATTAGGTTTAATGATTTTAACTGATAAAATAAGTCGAGCCAATAATCCAGATTTATCAATAACATCAATACCATTAACAAACGATATGACAAACATATTCGATTGTTTAAAACAAACATTTATTCCAATACCATTAGCACATGCACATAATCAAAATAATTTATTATCATGTCGATATGCATCACCTGATTCAAGTGTATTTGCATGTATAACAATGATTGGTGAAGTTGGACCAGATACGTCAACATGCTTAGATAATTTAATAGAATATTTATTACATTGTGGTTTCAATCATTCATTATTATTTTGTTTAAAGAAATTATGTTCAATGCCTTTAATACATATTGATATAAAACGTAAAATTCATCAAGGTTTATTAGCAAATTTACATTCAATATTAGGTAATCCATTATCACATAATGCAAATTTAACCAATGAACAAACTGATATAATTATCATGGCATTAGAAACATTGAGAATATTTGATTTTGAAGTACAAACTATTGAATCATTTTGTATTTGTATATTAAATACACATTTTATTGAACATGATATTGTACGTATAAGAATTGAATCTATTATAACAATAACATATTTATTAAGAAAATTATTATTATCAAATACAGCATTATTATTAACAGGAGTAAATAAATTACGAATTAAAATTAGTCATATAATACAAAAAATATTAACTATTGGTGTAACTGATTTAGATGCTGATGTACGTTATAATGTGTTTTTAACATTACAAGATGATTTTAAAGAATTTTTAATCAAATCAGATTCATTAGAATTATTATTTTATTCTATACATGATGAATGCCATGAAATAAGAGAATTAGCATTGAGTCTTATTGGAATATTATCAAATTTTAATCCAGCTTGTATTTTACCACGATTAAGACAATTACTATTACAATTATTCAGAGAATTAGAAATCGGTTGTTCATTAAGTGGAAAAGAACAAGCATCAAGATTGTTAGTACAATTAATTGCAAATGCACCAGAAATTGTTAGACTATATATGCAACCTATTGCTCAAGTATGAGTTTGAAAATCATTCTTTTTATTCTTTTAAAAATTAACTTCAATGAAAAGTATAAATATAGAAGTCTGCGTTTAAAAATAGTCTCTTTAACATTAAAATTATACAGTTATATTTTATACATTTTGCTCTGATTTGAAAATTATGATAATCTGAGATGTTTCTTTACTATTTAATTTTTCATTGATGCTTTCAAGTTAAGCATGTGGAGAACCAAGTTTTCTTTTTATCTCAACCTTGATCACGAATATTTTATACTTTTCGAGTCTCAATCTCAATGTAGAGAAAATTATTGCAGAAATTATTCGTCTTACATATGAAGTAATTCTTTAATATTTACTGTTTTATTTCCTTAATTGCAGACTATCACTGTTTTTTTGAGTTATTTTTCTTTCAAGATAACATGGCTGGTTAAGACTCGTACATTTTATTCAAAAAGACAAATAAAATCAATCGATTACATATAATATCTCTTCATTCTAGACTCTATTACAACTAATAAAACAACATGAACAACATGCCAATGTTCTCATTGCATTAGTTCGAACAGTTGGTGAACAAGCTCAAATCTGTGGTATTGATCTAGATCAGCGTGTATATGATCTATGTCCTATTCTAATAAACATGATGCAAGACACTATAAATTATCGTAAACGTGAAGTTGCACTATGGACAGTTGGTCAAATTGTTGAACATTGTTGTTATGTTATTGAACCATTACAAAAATATCCTATTTTACTTGATGTTCTTTTACAATTTTTGAAATCTCCTGAACAAATTCCATTTCGTCGTGAAACGATACGTGTTCTTGGACTTCTTGGTGCCATTGATCCGTACTATATTCGTTCAACAAATGATTTATTATGTTCATTATCATATGATATGTATGATATAACATCAATACATCGTATTCGTACACCATCAGATCCAATTGAAATATCTTCAAATGAACTTTTAATAGCATCCGGTACTCAATCGTTATATGATTTTTATACATCAATAGCAATTTATGCTTGTCTTCGTGTATTAAAAGATCCAAAATGTCCACAATTACAAATAAAAGCTGTACAAACTATATCAATTATAATTCAATGGCTTGGAAATTTATGTACACCATATGTATCACTTATCCTACCATATTTATTATCTGTTGTTCGTAGTACAGATGAGAGAAATTTATTAGTGTATTTTCATCAACTTAATTTAATAATCATATCAATAAAAGGTCTAATTATTCAATATATTAATGATGTTATTAAATTAATTCATGATTATTGGGATACACATATAGATTTACAAATATTACTTATACGAACAATAGAGTCATTATATATTGCATTAGATAATGAATTTCATCATTATATACATTTATTATTACCGTTTCTTGTGAAAATACTTCATAGTGATAAATATGTATTAAATATAAATAGTTTAGCAAGAAATGAAAGTCAAGATCGTCATTTAATATTATCACAAATATTTTCAACATTAATTAAATTTGGTAAAATATTAGAACCACATATTAGTTCTATTTTACCATCAATATTAGAAATAGTATCAATAGATGCATATCCATTGAAATTAAGATATGAAGCATTACATACCATTGAACAATTAGCTGATAAGATTGTTTTAAGCGATTATGTAACAGCAGTATTACAAATTTTATTAAAAATTATACGTAAAACACCACAATTGCAAATTAAATGTTTAGATATCATATTAATCATAGCACAACAAATGGGTAAATCTTTTCTTGTATTTAGTCCACTTGTATCAAAAACTATGGATGATATGAAATTACAACATTCTAAATATGAATCATATACATCGAAATTAAAAGATTCATCATTTGTTGAATTACAAACAGAAACAATTCCGAATTCAAATCATACATCAAATGAACCAATACGAAAACGTGATGATAGAGTTTTATATACAATACGTACTGAACAATTAAGACAACATTGGTTACAAGCTCTGCAAAGAAATCCAAATGATTTGCCAATATGGTTAAATAAATTTCAACAACTTGTTTTAGAACAATCACCTGTTTATCCATTACGTGCTATAGGTACTCGTTTAGCACAAGTATTACCATCAATTTCACGTGATTTATTTAATGCATCATTTATATCATGTTGGAGTGAATTAAATTTAGATGATCAACAAAGTTTAACAAATGCATTAACATATATTTTATCTATATGTGATAAACCAGATATCATACAAACAATATTAAATTTAGCTGAGTTTCATAATCATTGTTATTTTAAATTAAAATTAGAACGAGAAAAAAAATCTAATTCAAATAATGAAGATTTAAATATAAATGATACAAATGATATTCAACAATCATTAATTAATATACATTTATTAAGTGAAAAAGCATTTAGTGTAAGAGCTTATGCTAAAGCTTTGAGATATAAAGAAGAAGAATTCCGAAGACAACATGATTCAGCATCGATAACACAACCATCTATTACATCAGATATAATCGAATCATTAATCAATATTAATTATGAATTACAACAACCTGAAGCTGCTTATGGTGCATTACAATATGCTAAACATCATAATATTCCAATAAAAGGTCTTTGGTATGAAAAATTAAATCAATGGGAACGAGCATTAAGAAATTATGAATTTCTTAAAACAAACGATCCGTCAAACATGGATACACAATTAGGACGTATGAGATGTATGCAAGCACTTGGTTCATGGAGTGAATTAAGAGATTTAGCATCTAATGTATGGGATATAACTGAACAAATTCATGATGAACAACCATTATCCATGTTACCATTTACAACAAGTTTAGTTGATAGAAATTTATCATCAACATCATTAAATTTTCCTCAAGGTATTATTAATGGATGTGAACTAAAAAAAACTTTACAACAAAAGATTGCATCTATGGCAACACGTGCAGCATGGAGTCTTGGTAATATGACTGATATGGAAAAATATTATATACATATACCAGATACAAATTTTGAAGGAGCTTATTATCGTGCTGTTGATGCTATTAGAAAAGATAACTATAGACAAGCACAAGATTCAATTGATTTAGCAAGAGAATTATTAGATGTTGAATTAACAATATTAGCTAATGAAAGTTATAATCGAGCTTATTCAGGTAATTAAGTCGTTTTATTTTTGAATTTTGAGACTCACAAAAAGTTTTAAAAGATTAATATTTCGATGTGTTAATAAATCATAGTTCCAGTATTTTAGTATTGATACTGGTACTTTGACATGACTCCGAGAGCTTCATTTTTTTCTCTGTATACAAATTTAACTCAACAGATTTTCGATTTGATGAAAGAAAGAAGCAATAGAAATGTCAACTCTGAAGTCTGCTGTTTCCTCTTCATTGGGTATAAAGAAATCAATAAAACAGATTCTAGATTGTCTAAATCGAATTCAATTGAAGTTCTCAATAAATCATGAGTATGATCTTAAAATTGTATCTATTCATAAGTATGGACGTAGAAATGCGTACTGACCCTTCGCAAGAGTCGTGATTCACTCGCATATCAATGTGCATAGTGATACAAAGGATACTCCTTATTCGAATTATACTTATAATTCAGATAAATATTTTATTTTTGACTGTGATTACAGTAGTGTATATATATATAAACATCATTTTCTGTTTGTTTAGCTATGATCAATGCTCAACTTTTATCTGAATTAGAAGAAGTATGGTACTATAAAGTATCACCTGAACGGCGTCAATCTATATGTGAAAATTGGCAAAAACGTATGCAAGGTAATCAACCAATTGTTGATGATTATCATCGTCTATTATTAACACATTCACTTTGTTTACCAATGATACAAGATCTTCAATCATGGATTAAATTAGCTAACCTTTGTCGTAAATCAAATCGTTTAACAACGGCTGATTTTATATTTAAAGAATTAACACGTACAGTTTTAAATGATCAAACAAATATCAATTCAAATACATATTATCAACAATTAGTTAAATATGAAAAAGTTAAATATGATTGGTATTGTTTAGCTGCAACTCGTCAACGTCTTGTAATTGAAAAACAAACTCTTCAACAAGTTTCAAATAATGAAAATAGTCTACAAAATGATTCTAGTGATAACATATCAACATCATTGACAGAAGAAAATAATGAAAATATAAATATTAAACTTGAACAAAATCATCAAGAACAATTAAAATTAATTGAAGATATGAAAGAAATGATTGTCAAAGCATGTTTACCAGCATTAGATAATTTAAGAAAACAAGCCGCAACATCAGCTATTTCAGGAACTACATTAATTGAAACAACTCAAAATCTTAATACAATTTCACAATTACCTGTAAGATTTTATTTAAACAGATTCTTGTTTATTCTTTCTAATGAAACATAAAATACCGCATTCTTCTCTGTGAGTGACATGTATTCTAATAAGAAGCATGGACTGTGATTTGTGTAAAACATTTTATTTTCAACAATGATTTTTGAAGATGAAAGTGATTACTAGTGTTCAAAGAATATAGTCTCTGAAAAACAACTTTTTCAGCTCATAGAATTTTTTGTATTGAATTTTGTTTGAATTACTCAGAATGATAGAGCAAACGATTGTTTATAAAATAACACATTGTTCCAGCAGTATACGAGATTCACTAATCTTACGGAAGGTACGAAGCTATTTTTTCTCTCTATTTCATATGGACATATCATTTTTTATGCTTCATTGGTTAGCCTCATGTATTTTGGCAAACAAACGCCGTAAAGAATTCAAACAGAATTTGATATGAAAATTTTATAAACTAAGCTATAATTATGTAGTGAAGGCGAAAAGTGATCGTAACTGAATATTTATAGTTTATTGAAGAAAAAAAAAATCCTTTGTGCCTTTTGACGGCTTCCGATGGTTCCTATATTAGAGAAATTTTACTATATTCCGAAAAAAAACCAATTATCATAATTTCTTTTTTTAATGTTTCACTTTCATTAGTCATTCTCTGTAATAACTAACAATACGACATCATCTCAAACAGCTAATCAATATGAGCAATGTCTTCGTCAATTAATATCAAAATGTTATTTACGAATAGGTACATGGAAATATGAATTATTTGGTATGACAGATGATAATATGTTAACTGAAATAATGAAAAATTATAAACATGCTTGGACATATGATGACTCAAATTATAAAGCATGGAATGCTTATGCTGTACTTAATTATGATGCTGTTAGTTATTTTAAACAACGTGTACAAGATTTATCAAATAATAATAATCAACAACAAAATCTTGATTCATTCAATGATACTTATCGAATATTAACAGCAAAAATGTTACGTTGTACAATACCAGCTGTAAAAGGTTTATTTAAATCTATTGTACTTTCAAAAGCTAAACATTGTTTACAAAATACTCTTCGTTTATTAACACTTTGGTTTGAATATGGACAATATCATGAAGTATATGAAGTTATTACTAACGGTTATCAAACAGTACCGATTGAAGTCTGGTTATATGTATTACCACAATTAATTGCACGTATTGATTCTTCAAAACCATTAGTTAATAAATTAATACGTCATTTACTTATTGAAGTTGGTCGACAACATCCACAAGCATTGATTTATCCACTTAGTGTTGCATCAAAATCAATTGTTCGTGATCGTGAATTGGCAGCTAATCGAGTCTTAAATAATATGAGAGAACATAGTCATACACTTGTACATCAAGCTTTAGTTGTTAGTGAAGAATTGATTCGAATATCTGTACTATGGTATGAAAAATGGTATAGAGGTTTGCAAGAAGCATTAGAACAATATCCTACAAATGGAAATATATCAGGTATGTGTAAAAATACTTTTATTCTATTTGATATCTTTATTAAAAGAAATATGTCTTAAATATTCTTAGTAATCAATTAAAAAAACAAATGATCGATGCTCTCTCTTGATTGAATTTTTTTCGAATTAAATTTTGTAACACATAGTAGAAGAAGGTATAATAGGACGCACCAAAAAAAAAGAGAATAAAAATTTTGAAATATATTAACAAATATTGTCAATATGCGTGTGAATGTGAGTGCGATTGTGGATGGAAAGGGAACTAACAATCCTACCATGCACATTATACCGTCCTGCTTAGTCTTACGCCATTTTCTTGAGCTGTATGTCTTAATGAACATGCATATTGCTCAGCTCTACGAATTGTAATAACTAATTAAAGGTACAATGCTTTTTATAAAAGTTAGAGAGGTCAACTTCGTGACTTTCGATTCGGATCGAACGGTTAGCAGAAATTTGGACTGAGCTGATATTTCTGTAACGTAATCCATTATCACTTACGTGTATTTTTTCCTTGATTTGAAAACGTATCCAACAATATTTGTCCTTCCTTCTTTCATCCTACATTGCTAGGGTCTAAGAGAATTAGGAAGAGTTCTATAAGAATTTTTGCATTATCATACATTATTTGTTCTATATTTTATTTTTCAATTTTTCATAAAAATTAATCTATAATTATCTGTTTTTATAAGGCATGATTAAGACATTAGAATCGTTACATGCAGAAATCGACCGTGGAAGTACAACTGTAGATGAACGGAAATTTCTTGATTCATATGGTAATGATTTAACTCAAGCTCATGAGTGTATTCGTCGTTTTCAACGAACAACAGATCAAACCCAATTAAATCAAGCGTTACGTCTTTATTATCAAGTATTTATTTGTATTCGTACTCAATTAGCAAGTATAACATCTCTTGAATTAGACCAGATTTCTCCACGTAAGAAATTTTTCTAGTAAATATTCGACAATCAATGTCCTTATAAGTATTTTTCGTAATATTCTGATCACTATTTATTAGTAAGGTGTTATCTTTTTTTTTCAAAAAGATTCACAATATAATACTCTACAAACTATTAATATGTACTACGTAGTAGTGTTGTTTCAATTACAAGAGAAATAGATGATGCATCAAACTGAAATATCACGATCTACCTATAATAAGGAAATTTTTAAACTATTTTCAAAACAGTTTTCATAAACTTACATTTGAATAAAAATCCTTGATTACATTGAATATCATAGTATTATTTTTTCAGCTAAAATATTTCGGTAACAACACTTGTAATACATTATTATAGAGAATTATATAAAATAAAATACTTTGAAGAACATTTATTCTAGCACAACAGTTGAAGACAAAAGAAAAAGAAATTTATATTTTAATTTACAGGTTTAGGAACCAATTGTCAAAACTTGGAATTAGCTGTTCCAGGTACTTATGAACCAAATAAACCACCAATAACAATTCGAAATATTCAATCACATATAACAGTTATAACATCAAAACAGCGACCAAGAAAAATTAGTATAAGAGGTTCAGATGGATATGAATATGTATTTCTACTTAAAGGACATGAAGATTTACGACAAGATGAACGTGTTATGCAATTATTTGGTTTAGTTAACGAATTTCTATCAACTAATGATGAAACACGTCGTCGAAATTTTACTATTCAAGGTTATTCAGTTATACCATTAGCACCAAATAATGGTTTACTTAGTTGGGTTGCACAATGTGATACAATTCAAGCATTAATTAAAGAACATCGTGGCAGAGCATGTATTCCATTTGATACTGAATATTCTTATGTGCGCGAAAAAGCTCCAAATTATGATCAATTACCATTATTAAATAAAGTTGAAATATTTGAAGATGTTTTAAATTCCTTCAAAGGAGATGATTTAGCTAAAATTTTATGGCATAAAAGCTCAAGTGCAGAAATATGGTTAGATAGAAGATCAAATTATACAAGATCATTAGCAGTAATGTCTATGGTAAGAATGAAACGTTTTCGATTTATGAAACACGATCTATAATGAATATCAAAGTATATATGGATTGTATCATAACAACATTTGATTAGAACATATGAATCATTTAGAGTTCTGCGATATAATACCGAAAACTTTTGCACGAGACGCTCCGGATTAGACTATTTCGAAAAATTTGTTTCGGATGGTATTTAACATACTCGAAAAGTTTGTTAAGCAGGCTTTCGAAGATCAATGATAATGACATATGTTCCAAAATAGGTCGAATAAAATAATTTTCATGTATCCCATTTTTTTTTTAGGTTGGCTACATATTAGGTTTAGGTGATCGTCATCCATCAAATTTAATGCTTGATCGTACAAGTGGAAAAGTTGTTCATATAGATTTTGGTGATTGTTTTGAAGTAGCGATGACACGAGAAAAATTTCCTGAAAAAATTCCATTTCGTTTAACACGTATGTTATGTAAAGCAATGGAAGTAACTGGTATTGATGGAACATTTCGTATGACATGTGAATATGTTATGGATGTATTAAGAAAAAATCGTGATAGTCTTATGGCTGTATTAGAAGCATCTGTACATGATCCATTACTTAGTTGGCGTTTATTAAAAAATAATAATAATGAACAAAGTGCTACTCTATCAATAACAAGTAACCGTTTGCCAGAACCAGATCAACAACAACAACATTATCAATCACATTTATCAACAATTAATGAAGAAGATAATGATCATGAAAGTACAGTCAGTGATAAAATGCAACAACAACATGTTCAAGAACCAGATCAAAAAATACGAGCAGTTGAAATAATGAATCGTGTGCGAGAAAAATTAACTGGAAATGATTTTCATCGAGAACAACCTGTTGATATCCCAACACAAGTTGAATTACTTATTCAACAAGCAACTTGTCATGAAAATCTTTGCCAGTATGTTTTTGTTTTCATTATTTATTTTACTTTGCTTGTTTTTTTTTCCTTCTTTTAGATTGTACATTGGTTGGTGTCCATTTTGGTAAATTATAAAATGTATTTGTTTTTACTTTCTTCTCAGTGAGCTGTTGATATAATGTACAGTTTTATTTGTAAATATATGTATATAAATATGATTTGCTACACAAGAATAAAAAGTGTTTAAATCGAATTATTCGATTTCAATTTGTTTAACTTTTAATTTCTGATTGTTTTTTT